CTATACGGTTTCTGGACGACGAAAAACAAAATTACAAGCCCTACAAAACATAAACGATTTTTCGTACAACGAAGAATTTTTCAAAAATACTATACATAATAATATTTAAATTAATATTTAAAGACAAAAAATTACGCGATTTTGTATAATTTCTTTTATAACGTATCGAAGTTGCGTATATACTTATAAACGTGTACGTGTACGCGTATTTACGTAATAATTAGGGGAGATAACAAACTTCAACGAAAGTCGGTATTATATCCAACATTGGCAGAGTTTTTACTCCTACACTAGATAGTCATAGCTGTAAATGTTCATAAATTTTAAAATATTATAATACATATTTTATTTAACAAACTATTAAAATTAGTAATAATTACTGATTTAATTATGTTTATTTCTATAATACACCATTTTACCGTGACATTTCTCCGTATTCGTATTTTATATTTTGCTAATTTATTTTTTCATATTTAGAAATTAATTTTGTTCGCCTAAGCCATTGCACGTCACTGTTTCTAATTTTTACGTAAGTTTCTATCTGTATGTTTAGAAAAACGTCAGGTATAATACTGTGGGAAAATGGGAAGGTAGGATACATAAAGTTGTTTAATTTATATCTGATAGAAACGATTACCAATTTATTATTGTTATTATTATTTATTAAGTTATTTTTGGTTTATTCTATGTTTGTTTTCGGATTGCTTAATTATTAAAAAAACTACAAGAAAAATTAAAAAACGACATTTTTTACTTAACGAATACATTAAAAATGTATCAAAAAGGATCTTTGATCATTTTATTTTCTACAGAGCAATATTTCTGGAAGAAAATATAAGCCGTAAAAGTATAAAATAAAGGAATCATAACGTTGAAAATTTGTCAGTTTTCATTTTTCGTCTATTTCCGATTTTGATTAATCGTTAATAACACTACACAAAATGTGGCACTCTGAAGCACCCTCTAGGGCCTAACCAGTTACTATTTTTCCCCTAAAAAAAAAAGTTAACACAGTAATGACTAATGAGATAATAGTAACTATTATTATGGTGCCCAATAATCACGTCTTATTTGTCATTATTATATTATTAGCGTTATTGTTTTTGTTTTTAAAAGGAACATCAACAAATCGAAGTGATTTGCGATCTATCGGAAGTTCTTTAAGTTGTCCGTAGTGTCAATATCATTAGGAACCACTGCTTTATGAATTTAAATATTGTATTAAATTTGGCTATAAATCTTACAGACACGCTAACACTACTTTTTGTTATCACTATAGATTTCTATGTATTTGATATTTTAGTATGTTCATTCAAATATCATCGAAAATATATTGTATAAACTGTATATTATAAGAAAATATTTTAAACTCAATTTTTTTTTTTAACTAAATAAAATTCAACACCATCGAATCATAGGTATACACGCGATAGGACGAAGAGATATTAACGAGCTGTTATTCGTTTTCCGAAATAAATCTATACCAATTTGTTTTATGATTATTTTATCCACACGTGATCAAGACATTTACAATACTCCATCATCGTCTATGACAGATCCAATGGGAGTAACCAACCCCTCTCCTCTCGTCATTCTCCCTGATATACTTCCTTAGATTCAATATATTCTTAGTTTGAATTTTATCATAAATGTGTATCTTGTATGCATTTTCTCCTAGATCTGTCCCTGCCTTATTTATACATTTATAGGTAAAATGCTAATGAGAAATTGTCCTTTAGCATATTTCTCTACAAATAGGCGATAAATTTAACAAAATGTTATTTAAAGGATTGACCGAGGTGGCATTTCTTCTACATTTAACAAAATACTTAAAATAAACGGTAAGAATTTGTTTTATGTGTTTAGTAGAGGCGAAACTTGGTGGTCTATATTACCTACTCTCTGTAATATTTTTGCAGGTATAAACGTTAAAATTACTTTCATTTGGTCTTGTCAGTTTTTTCAATTTCACCCTTCTACAACACGGATTACAACCAATTTGCTTATTTAATTTTGTTGTAATTTTAAGTAATAACAATTTCATACGCAATATTATTATAGGTAATATTATTAAGGTTGGGTGTATTTTTTCAACATTTTTTTTTAAAAAAAAGCCACTTCAAGTTGAACAAATTAGGGAAACTAAATAAAAAAGATAATAATATACGTACATAATGATATAAATTTTCAAATATAGGTACAACTTTTCCCACGTTTTAAATGTATTAAACAATTTCTCATTGTATGCAAAAATCAGCTGAAATTTCTTATGGAAGAAAAACGGGTAAATGTACAAAATGTACAAAATGTAGGTATTAATTGAAAAATATATTACAGCCTTTTTCTTTTGTGAATAACTTTTCTACCAATAATTTTGTGCTAATTTATTGTAATAACAATTTCTTTAAAAGGAAATATGACTGGGGGGTATACTTTAAAGAGGTCATTTTTCGATTTTCTCTAGATTTTTCTTATCTAATGTCAAAAACCTGGGAAAAATATGGGTAATATTTAGACAAAAACTGCAAAATCGGTACAATATGAAACAAATATTATTAAGTTAAATATATAATGTATATTTAATTATTTTACTATAATATGACATACATATTGTTGACAAAACATCACTATCAATTGAACCCTACTCAGGATCGTTATTTCGTTAGCAATGGTTTATTGTAATTTCATGTATTCATTAAATTACCTATAACAGTGGCTGTACCCGTCCCCATTATCCTAGGACGTCTTTTTGGATAATGCACTCTTTTCCGGTACGGTTCTGACTAAAGCACATAAATATAATTATAGTTAAAATAATGATAAAACCCGTCAAAGAAAAAAAAATATTTGGAAAAAAATATTATTTGAATAAAATAATTTAATAAACTTAATTTTTTTGAAAATTTAATAATACCATTTTGTTTGTTTTTTTATTATTATTTTCTATATCAGACTGTCATTATAATAATAATTGTGTATTTATTATTATTTACTGCATGTTGTCGAAAAATGTAAAAGGGAAAAAACTTTTGGGTAGGTATATACAAAATAAGATAACAATTTTGAGAGCATTATAAAATAAAATAATTATTAAACAAAGAAATAAACAATTATTATTTAATTTGGTTGTCACCGTTAAATTAAAGAGATTAAAAATTGAAAAGACCACAATAAAGTGTATAAGATAGGGAACGAGTTATATTACATGAGCATTTAATTTATATATATTAATTAGTTGGTGATAACAGCATATTTGTTGTTTTTTGAAAAACACTTTCGGATGCTGATTTTTCGCTTGACGGCACAATTCATTAATAATGTCTCAAATGTTTTGAAAATTCGATCACATCTAGAAAAGGCAAATATAAGATTTCTTTCCTAATTTTAAATATCTAAAAATATGTTTAATTGAATTACAACAAAAAAATCAAATTGAAAATAATAAAAACATTATTTTCGTACATTTTCCCGTTCTTTTAGTTTTTTTTTTTTCAGTTTTGCTCAATTATTAAAAAAACTACCCGGAAAATCAAAAACCGACTTCCTTACTTACCAAAAAAATTTAAAATACAACAATAATGATCAATTGCAATTTTTTTACTGAATAAATATTTCTAATATAAAACATCAAGCGTAAACATTTAAAATAGACAATGAAATTGTAACGCCGTGAATTTATCAGGTTATTTACTCATTTTGAGTTATTTTTCCAGTGTTTCCTTATCATTAGGAAAACTACTTGGAAAACCGGAAAATGATTTTCTCACATAAATTGTATAAACTGCATTACAATTCAACAAGAAAGGTCACTTATTGTTTTTCTATTGAACCAAATTTCTATTAAAAAACATAAACCGTAAAAATTTAAAATAAAGGAATAAAGGAATCTATAATAACATTATATTAATATATTTTCGTAGATCTGGATAAAATACATACTTTAATACTAACGAAATTTGAATATAATCTACATCTAACATACACGACATTTATATTATTCAGTGAAAAGGGGAGACATTATATATTCATTTCAATTCTCAGCAAAGAGGGGGGGGGAATGGTTTTATTATGATTATTTCATTTATATCTGTAAACCATATTTTTTGATCAAAATCATAATAGGTACTTACTTATAATAGAATCGTTGATTTAGTTAGTGTACCGAGAGGGGTAATTTTTTTTTTTTTAGTAGTTTTCAATAGACGGAAAACTTACAATTTTTGATATTATACCTGTTGATTTCTGGATTTCATTATTATATTATTATTTCAGTATTAGTACACTCTGCTCAAAATCGTTTTTTATGATCAATGGTTTATCGCGTTGCGTACTTATATATTGTATATTTAATTGCTCTCTAGGGGTTATCTTCCTTTAGCCTTTTCCAACTTCCCTTCTAAAACACTGGCACAACTCTTATCATCATTATTACGCTTTTTTTCTTTCTCTCCCACTCTCGACTTTTCCTTGGTGTATAAAATATCCTATGCCACACGTGCGGTGTTACGTACGATAAACATTGATAATATGTCTTAGAATATTTTTTTGTTTCGTATGTTATAACGTTATATAGACCGTGAGATAATCGTAATCTAATGTTAAAACGATTCAGAAATGATATTATTGTTGTAACAGTATAATATCAGTGCTGCCGGATGCCATCACCCGGCTATTAATCTCACCCTATAAAATGCTCGATTATCAACCGAACAAATGTCATATGCCTACGTCGATGTTATTATATGTGTATTGGTAACGCCCTGTTTTCGCGGCGGCTTCGTAGCATACACCGGATCGTGTGCCACGACGGCGGCGGGCGGTCAGTCGCAATATCCAACCGGTTCGGTACAGTCGTTCTACTCGTATTCCGCGTGCGGTCCGATATCCCTGTTTATTAACGCGACTATCTTTCTATCCAAACCCACCGGTTTGACCCATTTGACCTATTCATTATATTTCATAATTTAATTCATCGTACAGTTAATACATATCTAACGATTATGTCGCAACAAATGGATATGAAAATGAATTTCTACAGAAATCTTTCGCCGAGCGTTTATGAAACGCCGGCCCGAGACAAAGAACGGTCCCTAATGTTCACGGACGAAGAATATTCCAATCAAATTCAAATGATAAAAGGTATTAAACAGACTGTGCGGAAAATTGGTGCCTGCGAATCGTTGTTCTCTTACAAACTTGATGTGGCTACCGTGAACGGCAGGGACCGGCTGATACTTCATGCCAACGATGATTCGGACAGTTATACCGTCTACGTGCCGACCAGCGAGATGTTCGATACAATCCACGAGCACCATTTGGCCACGGGACACGGAGTACCGCGGATTCCGGAACTGTACCACGTGTTGAATACTAATTTCGCCAATATAACAGAAGGGGCTGTTGGGCTATACTTGAAACTTTGCGTGACGTGCAGCAAACGAAAATACGTGGACAGCAAAACCACGGACCCGTGGTCGAAATTTACGTGCGAAGACTTGGCGCCAAAAAAATCACGTGGTATACTGGACATTATCGACATGCGAAATGAAAAATCGAAAAAATATCAGTACATCATGTGCTATACGGTAAGCTCGACCAATTTCGTCTTTTTAAAACCGCTGAAAACTACATGTGAAAAGGAAGTAGCGTCCCGCTTGATAGACGCCTTTGCAGTTTTTGGTACACCAATCATCTTGAATTCGACGGTGGACTCTATCGAATTTAATGACCGCTTAATAAACACATTATATGAGAAATGGCCAGATGCGAAAGTGGTGCGCGGTAGACCAACAGAGCATATTACGGAAACCGTGATGAAACAGAAGCTGAAATTACATAAGTTAATGCAGATGTGGATGTGGGAAACCCACAGCAACAGCAGCGAATGGCCGAATAGTTTAAACTGGGTACAGTTTCGAATGAATAGTAACCCTGATATGTCGTGTAAGTATTTTTAGTATATTATAAATTATACACAATTAAGCAAAACCCAAAATAAACGTAGAAAAAATGGGACAAATATCTTTTTTTTTTTTTTGTAGCCATGGAATTTACTCCATTTGAGATGATGTTTGGTCAATCACCGTTCCTCGGATTATCTTCTGCCAAAATTGATAACCAAAACTCGTCGAACTATCATTACGAAGAAGATATCAGTGATATTCTCAAATATTACGCAGGTGGAAGCACGAATATAAGAAATAAAGAATATTCAGTCAAACCCAATCCATTACCAGCAGGTAGTATATTTTCCAGTTTTTCTTACGTTTTATCTTGGTTTTTTCTGACATTATGAAAACTATTTGGAAAATAAAAAAATTAACTTCCTAAAGTACCATCTAGCCAATATGACAAAATTTTCTTTACAAAATGTGCTACACTTACACTTGAGTGTAACAAAATATTAAGTCAAAATTTCTGGTAAACATTTTTGTCACTGTGTAAAAAAAAAACATCCAATAGGTACATTCTCCGTTTTATACACAGAATCTAAAATTTAAACTAAATTAATTATTTCCAATTTTGATTCTAAAAATATATTATTTTATTATATTTTGCAAATTGATTGTTTCCGCTTAGTTTTTCATAATTTTATCTCACCCTTGAGAGAATATTTATTAAAATATATAAAAAAAGAAATGTTTCATTCTTGTTTCAATTAAAGTGTTTACAAGATCCGGAATCTTCTTTATGACGTTTAGAACTAGTTGTATTTGTACTTATTTGTACTTAAGAATTATTGATATTTTGTATAACAAAAAAATATGGGAGAATATGGCTTATGGGAGGGAGAGAAATCGCCCCCTCACCCTCCCCCCCCACGGGTACGCGTCTGGAACTATTTGCCTAAGTGATCGATCTGGTGGTAAAATGACCTGGCGGGATATTGATTGTAGCGAAAAAACCAACGGTGTTACAGTGGCGGTGAAATTGTCCTTATAATAAAATTTAATTTTGTATAGACAATGATTCTGGAGATCAAAACAGCACGGTACCATCGAAAATATTGGCCGCGAATCCGGTGCCGATTTTTAAGCGACCGATGGACCCAGTTGTTGCCAGACGGTCGAAGAAATCGGACGGCGAAATTGCGACCGGAACTAGAGTCCTGATCTCGGCTTTACAAAAATGTGTACTTAAACTGAACCCAGGCACTTTATTGACAACTATTGTCATAGAGTGCCGAGGGAATCTTTATATGTTAGGTCAGTACCTATAAAAATCAAGTTAAAAATTATAAGTTTATAGTTTTAAGTCAAATTGTTTGATTAAAATTTAATTTGACAATAATTAGAAAAAAATCAATAGAATGTTTGAAAATTCCTTTGATAAACACAATTTATTAGTTATTTATAAAAATGTATTATTCGTATAAAAATTGTACTTTTGTTTGAATGCATTTATATTTTAAAATAAACTTTAACTTAGCTTCGTTATTTTATTTTAGTACAACTTAACTATTTAAAAATGTTTTTAAAAAATCGATTAATTTTCACGAGGCTTTGAAATAAATATTATAATATCTTTGTTTAGTTAGGTACAATATTAATATTAATAATATTTTATGTTTTGCAGGTACCGAAAAAGGCTTAATTAATTTCAAGTTCCATCGTAAACATTTAACCCCGTGTAACATCGATACTTCAATTTGCGTAAAACGGTCCAAAATCATATCATTGCACGACGCCTTTGGAGCGAAAGCGTGTCCAAAGGGCACTCGAGTGGCTAAGTGCGAAACCGCCGAATGTATTTGTCAAATGATAGAAAGATCTTGTAACTATAAAAGCCACGGTATGATTCCTTCGTGTTCCACCAACTAACCTAACGTTTGATTTTAATATTTTTTTTATTCAGTATAAGGTCAAACATTTTTTTTCATTTTTAAAATCATTTGTTTGTAATTTTATTTTCTATTTTATTTTATTCTAATAATATACCTTGTTCCCTATGTATTTTTAGAATATTTTAGAATACATCGTACTTACATTTATTTTTTTATTTTTACTATTATTAATTTTTTTAACGATATAACTGTATGCATGTGTACCTATATATATTATGTATATAATACTGTAAAACTGTATAAATAAATAACATTAATAATTTATCGATGTATGAACTGAATGTGTATTTTGATAAAACAATAAAATGTTCTATAATTGTATTTAATATTATATGTTGATTATTATTTGTATCGATAAGTATTGAAAAGGGACCGAGAAATCAGTGTCAAAATGACGCCATCCCCCTATTTAAAAAAATTAAAAAAAACAAAACAAAACAAAACCTAAAAATAAATGTACACACAAATTCACATAGTGTAGTAATTTTTTGCCCGAAACTATATTTACGACGTAAATTCTGCGTCCGGTGCACATCGTGAATTTCTCACGCCTGCACCTTGGGTTCGTTCGCTGTCGTGTAATATTAAAAAACAGTGTGGTCAATACGAAATTGTGTTAATCTGAGAAATCAAATACAATGTTCTTCAATCTGATACAGCTGCGAGCAATATATTATCTGTTGTATACTCGTGTACTTATATACTTATATTGTATAATATAATAGCGTACAACATGAATGGTATGCCGATAAGACGTTTTTAACGTGGCCTGGAGAGACGAACATATGGTATGGTTTCATTTACAATAGTATAAAATGTCTTGGGTACATTTTTTTTTTTTCTTATAAAATATACATTCCTACGACCCCGAAAGAGGGTAATAAAAATAAACGTTTTAACAATCGGAACAAAAGACCGTAGAAATGTATTAATCTGAAGGTTATCTTTGACGTCGGGTACGACGGTTTCTCTGCCTACATAAATTATCGAAATACGACCCTATTTCGACCATCCCTGTGGCGTCGTTTAAAATCATCCATCCGTAAAATCTGTAGCTGTACACGTGTGCAGGTACCTGCAGTTATGTGAAAACCTATATTCGGTGTGCCTATACAAAAAGAACGGAGGCAACTTAGTGACACTTATTCGATTTCTCTTACCTGTAGTGTTTATATTATATCTACAGGGTGATTCACTAAATGTACTTACCCCATTTTTTTTTTTTTGTTAAATTTTTCATATATTAAAATCTGATTTTTGGTATTTTTAAGTGTATTTAAAACAGATATTTTCGAATACATAGATTTTTCAACATTTAAAGAGTATCCTATGACGATACCAACTTTGTTTTTTCAAATGACAGTCTATATTAAAAATAATAAAATAATAAAGTAAAAACAAAATTATTAAAATGGTTAATATTTTATCTATGTTAAAAACTCCATAAATAAATGAAGTATTATTTAAAACAGATTTTGGTGTTGAAATTTTTAATTTCCGTCGATCCATTTATAAGATATTCCACTTTTAAGTTTTGATCAGAGGAGAGTGGTACATTATTAAAACGCCGCACGTCGTGCCGCAACGCAAATAACGCTCCACTACTCTTTCCGAACTCGAACTTAAAAATGGAATATTTTGTCAATGGATTAGTGGATGTTAAAAATGTCAACACCAAAATTTATTTTAACTAATAATCCATCTATTTATGGGATTTTTAATATAGGTTGCCTTTTGAAAATCAAAAGTAGGTGGTTGTTTCACCCCTAAAAATTAGGGCGACAAAAAATAATGTAAATATAAAATCGTGGAACATTTTATTTTTCAAATGTTCTAGAAAATAAATTCTAGAAAAAGTTACTACTTTACAAGATTATATGTGTACCTATTTAAATGAATCGCCCTGTATATATTTTTTATTTAATAAATAAATTTACGATTATTAACTATTTTAATAATTTTGTTTTTATTTTATTATTTTATTATTTAATAAAAAAATATTATTTTCTTTAATAGTATTTGTTTAATGTACTGATTTTTCCGTTTTTACCGGTTTTTCCATATTTTTCCTGATTTTTCACATTTGCTGAGAAAATTCTTAAAAAAACTCAATAAACTGCCTCCCTAAAGTACCTTCCAAGTCAGATTTCCTTTCATAATAAGTGCTATCATTGTAAAGCGGAGCAAAATTGCTGTAGAAAAGTTGTTCACAGGAAAAAAACCGTAATATTTTTAACCAATAACTAAATTTTTCACATTTCCCCATGTTTCTTCATTTTTTTTTTGGTTTTTCACATTTTATGAGAAAACTCCTGAGAAAAACGAAAAAGGACCTCTCTAAAGTAACATCTTTTAAAAAACCATAAGTTTCTTTGCTCCAATCAGAATCTAAAAGTAATGATCTGGTGACGGGTGCGGCCATTGTAGATAGGTAGTTAGGAAGGAAGGATACACAATGTTATTTATTATACCTGGAATATAATATTTAAGATTTTCGTCAAAAATAAATATTTACTCTTAAAAAAAAAAAAAAAAATACGTACATTAACTTGTAATGAACATCTTGTCAAATTTTCAATTATTCCTGTTCAGTCTAACAATTTTATCCACATATTACCAACCAAATAATAATTACTTATAAAAAAAATCGCCAGATAAAATGTCCATTAATGGCTCAACAATTTTAAAAATTTTACCCCATCTAAAAAATAATGTAAATACATAGAAGTTCTTTTTTTAATATAATATAATATTTAATTCTTTTGATAAACCTTCCTTAACTATGTATCTTATCATTTTTTTATAGTAACATAATATTTTTCGTGAATTTCCCCCTTCAGTTGCGTTTTACACACTAAACAGGCAAATCGTATGTTTTACTCTCGTAGTTCGCAAAATAGTACTGTTTCAGTTATTTTAAATTCGGAGCGTGTGCCCACTGTGCAAAGAACGGTTCCTTTAACTTATCAGTGGCTTTCCGATGGAATTTTTAAACATTATTATGAAACTTTGTAGCGTGTATAAAAATTAATTTGGGGGGGGGAGTTATAAATAAAGCTTTTAGGTTTTAATTAATACATAGATTAACAAATAGATTTAATTCATAAATACGAACATGTGCCGTACCAACCGTACATTTCAGAGGGGGTGTTGAAACCTCAAAACCCTCCCTATATAAGCTACTGATTAAATTTACCTAGAAGTTCTAAATACATTCCAGAAACGCAATGTGTCAAGTTCCATGCACCTAGATATTATATTACATATTACTGTATGTGTGTCTGTGAACAACTTTTCTACCAAAAAAAGTATTAACCTTTATTGAGAGGTAATTTTCTCTCGTTGATGCATTAAAGAGATAATTTTTTGATTTTTCAGAGTTTTTGAAACAATTAGGAAAAACCCGAAAGAAAATGATAGGTAAAAGAGAAATATTTACGGCGCGCCACGGTGTTACCGTTTTCATTGTATTATTTTAATCGAAAAATGATAAGAGATTGATTTTGTTCCTTATATTTTGCCACTAATAGAGTAAAAATCATTTTACGATATCCAAAATATTTTTCCAAATAATGTTGAAAAACCAATAAATTAAAATTGATTAATACGAGTATTTATGGCAATATAGTATCCCGGTTTAATTATTTTAATATGTTCAACTTATGTTTTCTACCAGAATTATTACTCCAATCTAAAAAGACAAGAAATCGGTTTTTTTACCTTTAACACGTAGCCACTGAAAGAGTAAAACGTTTTTTTTTATATCTAAATTATTTTTCAAACATATAAATATTACTCCAATATAAAAATATCAAGCGATCTTTTTTTTATTTAAATTTTAATCTAGTTGATAACCAAGATAATCGTTTTTTTAATTTTTTTTTAGCATTTTTATTTTTAGTGATGCTTTTTTAATAATATTCATGTCATATTATGGTAAAATAATTACATATGCACTATATATTTTCTTTAATAATATTTTTTTATTATTGTACTTATTTCCCCGTTTTTTCCTTTGACTGGGAAAACTCCTGGAAAAATCAAGAAACAAGTTCCCTAAAGTACCTCTTCAGTCAAATTTCAAAAAAGTGCTATCATCGAAAATCGGAACAAAATTGCTGGTAGAAAAGTTGTATACAGAAAAAAAATAAACCGCATTGCAGTAAAACCAATATATTCCTTGCTTCACTCATAATCTAAATTTAATAAATAAAATCTAAAACTTGAAAAAGCTGAGAAACACAAAAATTATGATTTTGATTTAGAGAGTGATAAAGAAAAGGAAGGGAAAACTACTGTCTTAGAAGGAAGAAGTAAATTAAGTGAAAGTAAGAAAGAACCAACTAATACGGTCAAAACAAATTTTGGAGGTGGAATAAAAGACAAATATTAGGAAGAATAAAATCATAAGTTCCAAACAAGTTGTAGGAATAAAATAAAATAGGAAAGAAAGGAAGAAAGAACAAACGTAATAAAGGAAAAAAGTAAAAATATTTTAATGAAAGACAAGAAGAAACAAGAAGAAAAAACAAAAAGATTAAATGGTTACAAGAAGTGGTAGGCTAGTAGTAATAGGAAAAAAATATTTAAGTTAGTTATTAGTATTATCAATAAAAATGAATAATTAAAAAAACAAATAGAAAAAATAGTCATTTTGAAATGTTTAAAAAGGAGATGTTTAATAATTTAAGCTGTTATCATAGTAGTTGATCCAGCTACTCAAAGCACCTTGTACGGTGGCAGTTATTATCATCACTGTACTAAATAGTGTCATTAATAGCTCCATGTACTAATAAAACATAAACAAATATTATTTATTATAAAAATTATTTTTCTTACTTCATTGCAAATTTAAAAAGAAACCACAAGACGAGAATAAAATAATTATTATATTTATATGTTTATCTTCATTTGTCTGCTTGTGAGTAATTCACAGTTAGATATAGTGCACACTGAGGTCTGGAAATTTACATAAGAAGTGAATAAAGGATTCTGTTTGCACCTCTGACTGACTTCTAAAAATTAAACCCCTAAACGTAGCTTACACAGGATTTTTGGTAACATTCGATTTTTTTTTCATCTATGGGCCACATTAGCCCAGGGTTATATTGATAAAAAAAAACTACTATTAATCTTTTTTGTTGCAAAGGCAAAGAAATACCTTTTTAAAAAATAAATTACTAGACAGGTATGGGGGTAGAAACAGAGAGACAAGCTTTACATTTTTTTATTTCGTTCAAACTGGGCATCTTTTTTAAATAAATAAAATTTAGTAAGTATATTATGAAAGTAATTTTTTTCTCAATACCTATTAAAAACGTTTTGAGGAGAGATGTTTAAAACTCTTGTGCTTAGTGAGTTTTAATTTCATTATTTCATATTTATTTTATTATTTTAGTATTATAGTTTTTGTGTAGTATTGAATATTATATTATTACATAGTTAAACAAGTTGCTCGATAATTCCTTTTCTTCACTTTATATATTACATTAATTTTATTGTAACTTTATAACTAGTCATTTTATACTTCATTGAGGGATACATATGTAGTCAATAATATTACGTCAAAATGAATCATCCTTTATTATCTTTTGCTTGTTTAACTGCAGACCCTCCAAGCGGTGGTACTGGTCTACCAGTCGATATTCCTCCATATACGTATTTTTATTTGTCTGCCGGCTTTAAAATCTGGAATGAACATGTCAAAGTTACATCGACAGACATTATTGCACCAGCATTGTCAAATTCTCCACAGTAATTCGGTGCTGAAAATAAAGTAACGAGCTGCCGCTTAGCAAAAAACTCGTAACCGTCTTCTACAACTTGATGAGCTCTGCAAATGAGATCAAAATCGTGTTTATGCAAAAATTTAGTAACAATCTCTGCCCCAAATGTAAACGATACACCTCTATCGTTCTCTCCCCATGCCTTTGTATCTTTATCGGGATCAGACCAGAGCAAATCACACAACAGTCCCTGGTCAGGTACATCTGTAGGTCTTGTGAGTCGTCTTATTTGTTCCATTGACTGCAAATCCGGACTCAGACCCCCATGGCAACAAAAAATCTTTTCGTCAACAATTGCTGCTACTGGCAAACAATTGAAACAGTCCGTGAATGTTTTCCAAAGTTTTATATTATACCGCCGTTTGCATTCATCGTAAAATCCGTATATTTTGTTGATACTGGCGCATTCATGATTGCCACGCAAAAGGAAAAATTTTTCAGGGAATTTTATCTTATATACCAATAATAAACATATCGTTTCCAGAGAATGTTTTCCACGGTCCACGTAATCGCCCAAAAATAAGTAGTTAGATTCTGACGGATAACTGACATTATCGAATAAACGAAGCAAGTCGTAGTATTGACCATGAATATCCCCGCATATTTTCAAAGGAGCTCTAAGTTCTAAGAGTATAGGTTGTCCCAAAAATATCTCCCTTGATTTCAGACACAAGCCTTTGATTTCACACTCAGATAGCTGCACGTTCTTGCTAGATCTAGCACCACGCATCCCCAACAATTTCAATAGAATGTTTTCGACGTTCAATAGTTCTTCACTTTCAGCCATTCTTGATTCACGAATGATATAATTTTTTCATTGACAATATTAACTATACATAGACTTTGTTTATTGATAAATATCGATACTCATGTTTTCTTATTTGTAACCAGGTAACAATCTATAATAATAATTATAATAACGTCATTATTATTATATATGCCTATCTATAAAAATGTGGTGTCCGTGAAATTGACTGATCTGCAAATTCTAAAATCAATTTGTAATTATTTTCATCGATTTGGAGAAAATTTAAATTTTCACTTCATCCACTAAACATAAAAAAAAAAATAACATTTTATTTATTCACTATAAAAAAATTTCAAAATAGCCATTTTGTAAAAAATATAATTCAAGCAATTTTAAGCATCACACATTCATATCCGACGAATTGCTTTTTATCTATAGCCGTTTTAATTTCTAGAAAATAGTCATGAAAATAATTAATATTCAATAGAAGGGAAAGAATTACCGTGCTGGTTTTAATTTCTTATCAAAAAACGTGTTATTTTATTAAATATTAATTGTTTTCACGTCTAATTAAAACGGCTTTAAATAAGAAATTATTCTTTAAATATAAATGTATGATACCTACATTAAAAATTTTTGAAGAATATTTTTTACAAAATGACTATTTTGAAAATTGTTTAAAGTGAATAAATAAAATTATATTTTTTAGTTTTTAGGAGATAAAAATAAAAATAAATACTTTTTTCCATTAAGTACGCCAGTGAAATAATACGGTAACTTCTTTAAAGTGAATTTAACTCTTTTCCTATTCTGATTACTATTATTGAAAAGGAAATCAATTCAATTTGACATATAAAAGTCTAAAAAAAAAATATATAGTTGATTGAAACAAACCGATTCAGCGTCACAAATCATAATATAACACCACTTTGTCATAAATCATAAATTAACGCATTTTGATAAATGAGCAACCCTAACATGCTTGCACCTGTGATTATTATAATTTTTTTCGTCTTCGCGCGTTCGCGTTACCCCGCATAAACTCTACCCACCGCATATTTTTCAAGAGTATCTATTGTTATAATTTTTTTTTTCCAACATTATTATTCTACGATCACGTTAGATTACATTATTAGATTACTCATTAGGTCATTAGCAATCCTATTTGAAGCTCTTGACGAAAATAATATAAACTATATTTTTCAATGCATTTTTATGTATACTATTCATACTATTGTATCAGTTATTAACAAATTATCCATTAGATATTTTAACTATGAGTCATGTCGGAACATGTCTCTTACCCCCACCATAAAAGTATATATTTTGTAATGTATAAGTTTATATCAAATCTATGCCAGGTGCTATACTTTAACACGGCCGCCCGAAATGATTACCTGTCCATCGACCGTATATCCCACGCCCAATTTCTTATCCCCTGTTATATATTATCAGTTCTTTTCTCATTTCAACGATATAATTACCAAATTCTTATCGGCGACTATATTTTTACAATTTATCAATCCTATGCCAGGTAGTATTCTTTAGCGTAGCCACCCGAATCTGTGGCGTATACAAGGGGGTGTTTGGTGGATATAACACCCCCCTTGAGCCGTATCATATATTACATTATTATTACATATATATTACAATATACATTATTATATATAATAAAATAGGAACATAGGTAAATACAATATGAAATATAAAATACGGTCTTCAGTTTCGAGTCTTGACTGTGAAGATATATGTAAATCACATAATGGTAAATCACGTTTAATTGTTATAACTCTTATTGTTTTATTTAATCTATATCATTACATATTGTTAAATAGTAATATTTACGTGTGATTAAATTAAAATGAAAAGATGTATTAATAATTACTTTAAGAAAGTAGAAAGGGATCGTCATGAAACGATTAGTATTAATAATGAAAGTGAACATGAACCTGCCAAATCAGAATTGTCTTCGTCTTAAATATCTTAGAGGTCAAGGATACGATGGGGCTGCAGCTATGAGTGGCAAATTCAATGGCGTTCAAGCTTGTATTAGGGAGTCATATCATAGCACAATATATGTTCATTGTAGTGCACATAACTTAAACCTATCTATATCATATGCTTGTAGTGTTCCCAGTATCAGAAATGCTATGGGGACACTAGAAAGCATTTATGCATTTCTCAATACTCCAAAGCGACAATTTGAGTTTACAAAACATTTAAATAAATTTAAGGAAGATACTTCTTTTTCAAGTCAAAAAGAAAAATTAAAAAGACTATGTCCTACTCGATGGNTCAGTTACTTTCAGCTATTCAAACATCGGAATTCAATGTAAGTCTTATTATTATTTATAAAATATTTCAATATACAAAAAATCTTTGCACATATTTACAAAAACAAAACATAGATTTATTTCAAGCTTTAAATCATGTAGATATAATAATTTTTCAACTCCAAAATATAAGAAGTAATTGTGATGTAGAATTTCATAAGTATTTTGAAGAATTAACAGAAAGATCAAAGAAAATTGATTTTGAAATTGACATTCCTAGAATAGTCAAACGACAAAAGCATCGATCAAACTATCATACAGATAATCCTGAAAAATATTTTAAAATAAGTGTACTCCTTCCATTTCTGAACAATTTAGTGCAACAATTAAATGACCGATTTATAAACCACAAAACTATTATAGCTGGCTTTTATTTTCTCATTTCTAATAAAAATTATAATCAACAAGCTATCAAAGATTTAAGTGAGTTTTATTCTGATGATATTGATCAAGAAGTTATTGAAACAGAGGTAAAATTATGGCATACACATTTGGAAAAACTAAACATAAAAAGTGTTCTTGACGCTCTTGATAACTGCAATAAAGGCCTATTTCCAAATGTTTTTAAACTCCTTCAAATATTTGCAACATTGCCTGTCACATCATGTGAACCTGAAAGAAGTTTTTCTACATTAAAACGAAAAAAACTTATCTTAGAAATTCTATTGGCCAGTTTAGACTTAATGGATTAGCATCTTTTAATATTCATCGTGAAGTCGAAGTAACAGTAGAAGAAATAATACAAAAATTGTCATTCAATCAAAAACGACGAACGGATTTTATTTTATAATATTTTTTTTTTTTTCATTATTATCTATTGATAATACCATACAGACATTATGAATACATAATTAATTAATTAAAATAAAAGTTTTAGTTTGTACGTATTATATATAATATTTAATGTTTATAATTTACACCCCTCTTCAGAAAATCCTAGCTACGCCACTGACCCGAATCTTCAAACTCTTTATCGACACATAATTTTGTCCTTCTCATTAATCATTAATTTTTTCCTACACGCACCTCATTGTTTATATAGCCCACACCCATTTTGACAAAATTATTTTTCAAGTTATTATCAGCTACTTACTGGACAAACATATATTGTTATTATGAACATACTGTTATCTTACCTGTGATTATTATTTTATGATTATTATGATTTTTTTCGTCTTCGCGAAAAAATTATTTTTTTTTCCTAACATTTAAACCTATTTTATTACATTAAACATTATTAATTTTATAACTAATATTCACACTATTAAAATTTCATAATAGAACACATTTAGTTCACCGAAGGTGGACTACCCACTTTTCACCTATCTAGGTGTAAAAGTTAAAAAATAGTTCAAACAATTTTTTTTTTCGAACTCCGAGTTTGGAACCCGCGTCCCCTTGGATGACAATACGTATTCATGACCATTCGACTACATCAAATAACAATGTAGAGTTATTTAACATAAACATGTAATATCTGCATAATATCTGAACTTCAAAAAGCCATAATTTCGAAACTTAGTCAGCCCGCTCAATTCTGACTTTACCATCCTTCCTTAATCGGCAATACATATATGTTCGAAAAAAAAAAAAATTAAAAACTAAATTTGTTTCACATAATTTTTTACTCAAACAATTTTAGTCAAAATATAGTGTCAAAATTCCTTTATAAAAACAAATACTACATTAAACTCATTAATTTTTTTTTACCACAAAGTAAGATTTAATGAACCTCCTTGTTAAATTTTCAAGCATTTCTGTCAAGTCTAACAATTTTATTACTAAGTACTTACTGAATAAAAATTACGTACAAAACTCGCAAAATGAATGTCTATTAAAAGCCTAAAAATGGTTGTAATGGTTTAAAAAGTTAACCACGTCTAAAAAAAGCAAATATAAGTTTTTTTTAAAAATTTGAAGTCTTTACGAATATTTTTAACTAAATTATAACCATTACAAAATTGATAAAATAATAAAAGCATTAATTTCGTACATTTCCCGTTTTTCTTACGTTTTTTCCTGGTTTTTCCCAGAAATTAGGAAAACCGCTTGAAAAATCAAAAAATGACTTCCCAAAAGTACCACCTGAACAACATTTCCTTTCAGAAATGGTGTCGGGCGTCTATATCTGAGCAAGATTTATGATCGAATTTTTGTAAACAGAATAAAAAAAATAGAAAAGAAAAAATAAACATCTTAGTAAAACCATTACATTCTTCGCTACACTTAGAATCTAAATAAATATGGGTAAAATAATAATTGGCACAGTCAACACCAGGCGCGGAACAGCTAGTATAAAATAAAAAGGAATAATGCAGAAATAATGGGAAAGCAATCTCAAAATTAACAGTGATTTATTTAAAAATGTTTATTCCATTCTACTAGGATCGTTAATTTCACGTAGGTTATGGACTAAACTAAATCGAGTTCGTACAGGTCAAGGCCGATGAAACCATTCGTGCAGATAAATGAACATGGAAATTCTTCATGTCATGAACTTGTGTGTTAAACTTATGGATTGAGATGATGTGACACAACATACCAATTCAAAATTAATAGAACGAGTAAACTAAGAAAAAATACACTGGAGAAGTATTTTAACTAAGATTGTAGCAATTGTTTAAAAATTAGCCTCATGTGGACTTCCAATTAGAGGTCACGATGAAATAATAGGATTCGTGAATAACAATAATTTTTGGTAATTATAGAATAACTCTCTGAATTTGATTCTCTTTTATCTCAACAAATAAAAAAAATACTTAAGAGAGGTTATTTTTTTGATTTTCTCAGATGTTTGAAAAATCGGATAAAAACTGAGGAAAAATGGGAAAATTTACATAATGTAGGTATTATTACTATAGTTGAAAAAAATATTATGGATTTCTTTTTTTCCGGGAACACTTTTTCTACCAGTAATTTTGCTCTAATTAACAATGATAGCACTTTTTCTGAAAGGAAATCTGACTGAGAAGGTACTTACTTTAACAAACTGTTTAAATCACGAGCCAGTCAACAGTTTATAATTGTAGATCAAGAACTTCCATTTACCAACGATTATTAATGAGGTAATTTTTTGATTTTCCCAAGAGTTTTTCCAGCAAATGTGAAAAACCGGGAAAAACGCAGGAAAATCGGTACAATATTAAAAAAATATTATTAAAGAAAATATATGATGCGTATTTAATTATTTTATCACAATATATTGCTAATAAACTATTACTATCAACTGAACTCCGCTCAGAATCGTTTTTATGTTAGCAATGATTTATATTTTTTTACAGATATGCATTAAATTCCCTTCCGCCGTAGCATGTATTCTAATAATTTCATAAGGTTCATTTCACATTTCCTTAATCATCTTCTCCAAAATCACGTTGAACAAAATCAGTAACCGGGTCAGTTATTGAGTTTCCCCCTTGAACCCTTACCAAGGTCTTCGTAGTATGAACACTAATTGATATTAGATTGACTAGTTTTTGTGAAAAATAAAATTCTTACAAAATATTCAGAAGGCACTGTCTATGAGAACAATTGTACGCTTTTCTTAAACGAAAAAAGTATGCATATCTTTATAAAACTCCCACGATTTTTGATACAATTTTCTTAATTTATCAACCATTGAGTCAATATATAAATATTTAACATTAAATTTATCAATAGAAAATGATAAATTTGGTTCAACCACGCATGACTACTGTATAACCTGGCAACCGGTCTAATCAATAATTTCTTCTGAATATCTATTCAAATTGCCTAATTTTACTCCTTAAGTTATAATATTCTATACCTAACCATTTAACAACTGTATTATATTATATAACACGTAATATCATAGTAATAACTCAAGTTGACAGGTAATGTGTACCTTTAAAAATTATTTTTTTCATGTTATATTTATTTTTAAGGGGTAAAATACGATAACCATAACTACAATCTCGGGGATTGATAAAGTACTGATAACCGGTTTTTACCATATCTGTCCACTATTGTCGTTTATTATAATAATTAATTTTTGATATAGTTCAGTGGTTCAATAGTTCAATGATTGCCTTTAGCTATATACCGTATTTCGTGTCCTGTGTGTTTTATATTCTACCCCGTTCAAATATGATTTTACAAACATTAACCAGTGTGTTATCTACCACGGACCAAGTCCGTGTTATCTACTATCATATCATTAGAATTTTAGGGGCTGTGATATGGTTTTACTTTTTTCTACATTATATAGCTGTGAATTACATATAATGTGATATAAAATAATAACAATTATCACAAAATTCCATTTAAACACAGTGAAAATTTGAATCTAATTCAATTTCTTAATATCATTAGTACCACAAATATAAACCTGGTAGTACCTAGAATCAATATATTCTAATCTATGAATCAACCAAACCATTCAGCTCATCAGAATAGATAGAACATAGATTAATGAACAGTATAATGAAAATTCAACGTCTTGGCTTTGGTTAGTTCGTCATATTTTCAATGTTTTTTTGTTAAATCTTTAATTATGTAGTAATTTAATTCGTGTACATTTATAGTATTTAGTCATTATTATTAATGTTTAATATTATAGATACTGATTAACTTTAGGATTTCCATAGTTTGAAAATATTTGTCAAAGGATTTTATTGGAGAGAATATTGCACCACGTTTTATAGGTATGTATTAAAAAATCATTTTTATTTCATGTGATTAGTTTGTTTTTGTCTGCAATTATTCTTGGTGCTCGTTACTGATGACTATTTTATTATCTATTACACTTGAGGAACAGTTTTATTCTATTTTATTATTTAAATACCTACCTATTTTTATTTTTATTAATTACAGTATGTAACAACAATAATTAAAATAGACATTAATATCATGAAAATTAATAAAAGACATAATTTCAGTTTGATGTAGGGGAATTAACTATATTTATTTGATCACTGTCAGAATTAGAGTCTTTTAGNTAACATCCAAATATCGCAGGGGACCTCGACATGCACTATGTACCTATTATTTTTTCCTTTTGCTTCTATTAAATTAACCTTCAGGAATCAAGTAGTGTCCAGTGGATCTATATATATACGGGTCCTGTTGTAGACCTAAGACAGAACGGTTACAGTTTTCAGATTGTCGCCACCGTATCACGTTAAGACCGATCCACGTTCAAGCCCTTGCGGACAAACCTCTGGTCCGTTTCCTATTTCTGTTTTTTTAAATTATATGAGTTATAAAATAAAGTAATTAGTTATATGTATTTCTAAACTGTTTTTAATATCCGTCTAAATCCTCTACCACCAGCAGGTACTGCGGCGGAGTTCTGTCATTAAATAAATCATATGAGCCCAGATCGTCAGCCCTGAGCTCAATATCTTATACTTGTTCATGACGCAGATCACTTAGCAGCCTTCTTCCTCGGTTATATTTTCTTCCCCCTCTCAATAATAATTCATCAATTTATACCAATTATATATCAATTTATATTATATTTATTTATAGTGTGGATGTCGATGATGAAGAAATGATGTTTGAAAATGTAAATGAATTCAGTATTTTGGAATTATGTTGAGTGTCAAAAATGACTGGTCAAAAGAAATTAGGATATGAATAATGAAGGCTAAAAGGATGATAAGATCATTAAGATCAAGAAAACAGAATGTGGAGAGCAATATGGCCCCACATACTAGGTGATCCATTTAAGTGGGTATACTAATTATTTCAGTAAGTATTAAATTTTTCTTAAATTTTTTTCTAGAACATTTAAGAAACAAGCTTTTACATTTTAGTGTTGACATTTTTGATTTCTGTCAATCCGCTGATGAGATATATTCTATTTTTAAGTTTGGGTTGGAGTAGAGTAGTGGAGTATCATTTGTGTAGCCATTAGGAAATCAAACATTCCAACATTAAAATGTATTTTAATTAATACTCCATCTATTTATGGACTTTTTAGTATAGGTTGCCATTGAAAATCAAAAGTAGGTAGTGGTTTTACCCCCAAAAATAAGGGTCACAAAAAAATAACAGAAATATAAAATTGTAGAACTGCTTGTTTCTTAAATGTTCTAGAAAACTAATAGTGAAATTAGTACATGATGTAGAAAGTACTGAAGTATTGTAGAAATAAATGGGTTTAGAATCAGTTACCAGTTTTAAAAGTGTCTAACAAGTTCAATGGATTGGACATATTATGCCCAGAAACCTGAAGGAGAGAAGAGCAGAGACCTTGTGGGAGACTCAAAAAAGATGTATGAGTAAGATAGAAGATCTCAATAAATTAGAAGTGCCAAATAACGTAAAGCAAAGGCAAATTGTGGTGATGGCTGCAAAACAACTTGTTAAACTTGTTAAACTAATATTTTTTTTTTTTTTTTTTTAGGCTTTTACGAGCCATTTAGGCTCTTTGCCGCCAAAACTACTTTCTTCCATCGCTCTCTATCATATGCCTGCTCCCAGTCCACTCCAATTTCTTCTAATAATTCCTTGACGCNAACTGTTGACTTTTATTTTTTCTCTTTTGGAGACTTTTAGTTAAACATTTTTATTGGACATACAAACAAGCAGACATTCATTTATATATATATATATATATAGACATAATAATATTGAACTATGTTTGCCTTAATTGTTGTTAGATCTAATTGTCATACTTACAAGTTATAGACTACTGGAAGACCTGTTCTTGTGGAACCTATTAATAGGTTAATATACTATAGTATGATTATGTAAAATATAATACAGGTATCCCACTGTGTTCAATAGATTTTTCTAGCTCATGAATCATTCATTCAAAATCTATTTGTAATTTATTTTATAATCATCTATTCAATTTAATATGTATAAAAGTTATAAATAAATTTCAAAATATTCTAATAGGTTCATTGGTTTATTTATTCTACTTTAAGATCAATTAAAGAAAAAGTGATTGATGGCACATCTTACAATCTTTATTATAAAGATCAATCAAAACAAAAAGTGTAAATATCATGTAATTTAATATTTTCCTAAAAGTATAACTTTAAATTCAGAGCAAAGTGTAGGATCTATTAGTTTTACTATTTTTTTTTGCCTGTGAACAACTTTTCCAACAGAAAACTATCTTCAATGGAAAAATCTTGTGCATTAGGAATATCATTTTTGGTTTTTCGAGGGGGTTGTGAAACTTTTTGGGAATAATGTGGAAATTTATTTTAGGTTATACTTAGTGATAAAAATAAAAATAAGGACAGTGTTAATATTTTGTTATATCAGCATTTATGTTATATTGAATTTAGAGGATAATATTGATTTAACAATAATCATTTAACTATTAACATAAAAGGTAATGTACCACATCAATAACATTAACTACATTTTAAATTGGTTGGATAATAATTAAAAATTATTATAAATTTGTCACATTTCCAAGAATACTATACTACTCATGTTTATTCTATAAGAAAAATGCTCTTCTTGAAATTATTAATTTTAATTAATTATTCTATTTTTTCAATTTAAAAGTCCACAGACCAATATAATCTAATAATGGATTTCTTAAAAATTGAATTAATTTTAAAATGCTTTTAATAAAACCATTCCACTGTTTAGATTTATAGTTGTTGTAGCCTATATTCTTTATTAAATTTACTAAATTCCCATTTACAACTGTGACATACAAATTTTCTTAATCCTTTAGTTGTATTTTATAGCACTTACATGATTTATGTAAACATAATGTAATTATTGTTATTATTACATCTATGGGAGTTAAAATACCTTCCTTTTCAGGAGCAGATTGATTAAGTCACACTTAATCTGCAATTTATAATTGTAGATCAAGAACTTCCTTTTACCAACAATTACTGAAAATATCAAAATTAATTTTCCATACAAAAATATATCAGTATTATCTATCTATAGTAAATAAATCTTTACATCATAGCCCCTTAAGCCCCAATATAATATTAAATGAATGTAATTGGTGAGGGGTTTCAGATGATTTAAATTATTAAAATCTTTTTAAAATCCTCATAATATCTTATCTGGCATCTATTAAATTATCTACATGTTCCTTTTTTTTAGAAACCTAGCACTCTCTGCTAACAACTGGTATGGTTTTATGTATTATAGCATTCAGATTATAAAATAGTAATAAGTAAATATGATAATTTACCAGTAGATTACTTAAAATCATGTTTTGATTAAAATTCAATTATTCTGCTATGGAATGGGTCAACTGATAAACAAATTTTAAAGAGGCCAGATTTCAACACCTTATTGTTAAATATTAAAACATATGTCAATAATAATAAACAATATTATCTTGATATGTAAAATTTAAATAATAATGACCTGCTTTTATCTCATTGTCTTGGTTATTTACAAAACATTGGTAGATACCTATCACTGCCTGAAACAAACCAGTTAATTTGTAAGAACAAACATGGTAATTTAAATGTCCACAATTCTTTTTTTTGAGATTAAATTAGCAGACTATATTTTCAGATATCTATTACTGTCTACTCATACTACTAATATTTTTAATGTAACTTAGCTGATCATTTTTTAAAAATGTATTATAATGTTTTTAATTTAACTTTTTGTTTTTATTTTCCAGTTTGCAATGAAATGAAATAAAACCTCCAAATATGAACTTATGGTCATATGAGAGACCAGACTGTTTATTAGCAATTGAGCTGTGAAATTTGAAGTTCCTTGTGTCCCATAACTCCGTATAAGGCACAATCTGGACCTTCCTATTCTTTGGATCATGATGTGTATATAACAAGCCAATTGAAAAGTCCCATCTAACACACAGATGAGGGTGCTAGTATTAAATCTATATGGTTTTTAGTTAATACCAACCTTCAAATGATATGTGTCAAAATTTGACAACAGTCCGATCATTAGTTTGTGAGATATTGCATTGTGAGTATAGCTACTTTTGTTATTTGAAAAAATATGGAAAAATAAAATTTTGTGTGCTGATAAAATATTGCTTTTTGAAGGGGAAAAATACAGTTGGAGCAAAATCTTGGCTTGGTGAAGTTTCCAGGGACTGCATCAGGAAAGTCAACCATCATTGATTAGTATGCTAAGTTTAAGCTTGGTGAAATGAACACCGAATAGGGCGAATGCAGTGGATGTCCAAAAGAGGCTGTCACTGACGAAAACATCAAAAAAGTTCACAGAATAATTTTGAATAACCGTGAAGTGAAGTTGATCGAGATAGCAGACATTGTGAAGATATCATCTGGACATGTACATCATATCATTCACGAATATTTATACATGAGAAATCTGTGTGCAAAATGGGTGCCTCGCGAGCTCACAATTGATCAAAAGCAACAACGTGTTAATGATTCTGAGCAGTGTTTGAAGCTGTTCAATCGCAATAAACCTGAACTTTTGCGTCAATATGTGACAATGGATGAAACATTAGCTCCATATTTCACTCCGGGGTCCAATTGACAGTCAGCTGAGGTTACTACACATGATGAACCAAATCCAAAGCAAGGAAAAACACAACAGTCAGCTGGCAAGGTTATAGCATCAGTATTCTGGGATGCGTAAGGTAAAATATTCATTGATTACCTCCAAAAGGGCCAGACTATCAACAGCGATTATTATATAGCATTATGGGATTGTTTAAAGGATGAATTCGTTAGAAACGGCCTCATCTGAAGAAGAAAGAAGTGCTGTTTCGTCAAGACAATGCACTGTGTTACAAATCAATGAAAACAATGGCAAAATTTGTAGTACGATTTGTCTTTTGCTTCAAAATAGGCCTCAGTTTTGGCGATTACTTCTTCATTGACGCTAAATTCCTTTCCAGTAAGGGTTCTTTTGAGGTCTGAAAACAGGAAAAAGTCGCTGGGGGTCAGATCTGGCGAATATGGTGGATGTGGAAGCAATTTGAAACCCAATTCATGCAATTTTGCCATTGTTTTCATTGATTTGTAACACAGTGCATTGTCTTGATAAAACAGCACTTTTTTCTTCTTCAGATGAGGCCGTTTTTAACGATTTCATCCTATAAACAATCCAATAATGCTATATAATAACCGCTGTTGACAGTCTGGCCCTTTTGGAGGTAATCAATGAATATTTTACCTTACGCATCCCAGAATACTGATGCCATAACCTTGCCAGCTGACTGTTGTGTTTTTCCTCGCTTTGGATTCGGTTCATCGTGTGCAGGAACCTCAGCTGATTGTCAATTGGACTCCGGAGTGAAATGATGGAGCCAATGTTTCATCCATTGTCACATATTGACGCAAAAGTTCAGGTTTATTGCGATTGAACAGCTTCAAACACTGCTCAGAATCATTAACACGTTGTTGCTTTTGATCGATTGTGAGCTCGCGCGGCACCCATTTTGCACACAGATTTCTCATGTATAAATATTCGTGAATGATATGATGTACATGTCCAGATGATATCTTTACAATATCTGCTATCTCGATCAACTTCACTTCACGGTCATTCAAAATTATTCTGTGAACTTTTTTGATGTTTTCGTCAGTGACAGCCTCTTTTGGACATCCACTGCATTCGCCCTATTCGGTGTTCATTTCACCAAGCTTAAACTTAGCATACTAATCAATGATGGTTGACTTTCCTGATGCAGTCCCTGGAAACTTCACCAAGCCAAGATTTTGCTCCAACTGTATTATTCCCCTTCAAAGAGCAATATTTTATCAGCACACAAAATTTTATTTTTCCATATTTTTTCAAATAACAAAAGTAGCTATACTCACAATGCAATATCTCACAAACTAATGATCGGACTGTTGTCAAATTTTGAGACATATCATTTGAAGGTTGGTATTAACTAAAAACCATATAGATTTAATACTAGCACCCTCATCTGTGTGTTAGACGGGACTTTTCAATTGGCTTATTATATACACATCATGATCCAAAGAATAGGAAGGTCCAGATTGTGCCTTATAAGGAGTTATGGGACACAAGAAACTTCAAATTTCACAGCTCAATTGCTAATAAACAGTCTGGTCTCTCATATGACCATAAGTTCATATTTGGAGGTTTTATTTAATTTCATTGCAAACTGGAAAATAAAAACAAAAAGTTAAATTAAAAACATTATAATACATTTTTAAAAAATGATCAGCTAAGTTACATTAAAAATATTAGTAGTATGAGTAGACAGTAATAGATATCTGAAAATATAGTCTGCTAATTTAATCTCAAAAAAAAGAATTGTGGACATTTAAATTACCATGTTTGTTCTTACAAATTAACTGGTTTGTTTCAGACAGTGATAGGTATCTACCAATGTTTNATGTTTTAATATTTAACAATAAGGTGTTGAAATCTGGCCTCTTTAAAATTTGTTTATCAGTTGACCCATTCCATAGCAGAATAATTGAATTTTAATCAAAACATGATTTTAAGTAATCTACTGGTAAATTATCATATTTACTTATTACTATTTTATAATCTGAATGCTATAATACATAAAACCATACCAGTTGTTAGCAGAGAGTGCTAGGTTTCTAAAAAAAAGGAACATGTAGATAATTTAATAGATGCCAGATAAGATATTATGAGGATTTTAAAAAGATTTTAATAATTTAAATCATCTGAAACCCCTCACCAATTACATTCATTTAATATTATATTGGGGCTTAAGGGGCTATGATGTAAAGATTTATTTACTATAGATAGATAATACTGATATAGGAGGGCTAATCAAAAAGTATTAAGACTGATAATATTACTCGGAAACCGAGCGTTGAAGAGCAAAACGATTTGTAAACCTAGCTTCTATGACTTATACTGAGCACATCTATTCGTATAAAATCTCTATAAACTTCTTCGTTTTGATTTAACGATATTTTTCTAAAATTTGTTTTTCACGTTTGGCGATTTCGTAACGAATCCAAAAGAAGCGGAACTTGCTGCCACTCGGGGGCACATTTTCAATATTTTCAATTGACATTTAATGGCAAAAACCATGAAATGTTGCATCCCTCTGAAACTGGAAAAAAATGCAGAAAAATTTTCTAAAATCTCCAAATCTGTCAAGTTACTCTTCTTTTGGGTTTATTAAAAAATCGCCAAATTCGAAAAATTTATTTTACAAAAATATCAGTGAAATTAAACTGAAGAATTTTATAGAGAAGCAATAAAAACAAATGTACTCAGAAAGTCATAGAAGCAAGTGATACTAATCTTAATGCTCCTTTTCCGAATGATACTACCAGTCTTGATACTTTTTGATTAGCCCTCGTATATGCCCTGCCCAGCTTATTCTTTTGCTTTTCATAGTAGCTATTATGTCGGAATCCTCTAACATGTTTATCACCTCTTCATTCTTCCTTTGCTCATAGTCTCCCGTGTTTTGGTTTCTTCTGGGGCCAAAAATTTGCCGTAACACCTTTCTTTCAAATCTTGCTAGGTTTTGCTTGTCTGTTTTGGTCGTGGCCCAGGTTTCACACGAATATAACGCTATCGGGCGTATCATTACTTTGTATAGTGTTAGTTTAGATTTGATTGAAACTAGTTTAGATTTTAATATTGTCTTTAATCCAAAGAAACACTTGTTAGCTGAGTTTATTCTGTTTTGAATTTCCTTGTGGTTATTGCCAACACGCTCAGTTCCACCCCTAGATACTTGAAATTTCCGACCAGCTCAAACTCCATATTTCTTACTATCAAGTTATTATGTCTATTATTTTTCCAAGACACTATCATGTACTTTGTTTTTTCTTCATTTATAGTTAAGCCCATTTTTTTGCTCTCATTCATGAGAGACTCTGCCATACTCTGAAGGTTGCTCTTAGATTCGGAGAGTAATACTATTCATATATCATTGGCGTATGCTATTAGTTTGATAGTCTTAGACTCTTGCAGTTTGACTCCTATACCGGTGTTTAATGCATTTCTAACAACCTCCTCCAAAGCGATGTTGAAGAGCATTGGTGATAGTGCATCTCCCTGTTTCAGTCCAGTGTTGATCATGAATGCCTTCGACAGTTGGCCGTTAAATTTGACCATACATTTAGAGTTTTAAACACATGCTTTTATCATTCTTGTGATTTTTGCTGGTACTCCAAGCTTTTCCATGGCTTTCCATAAACTTTCCCGATTAATAGAGTCATATGCCTGTTTATAATCTACAAATAGCATGAATAGTTCCTAGTTATATCCGTAGCATTTTTCCATTACTTGTTTGATAATATGTATCTGATCCACCGTTGATTTTCCCCTTCTGAAGCCTCCCTGGTACTCCCCGACTATTTCATCTTCATATGGCTTGAGTTTATTAAGGAGGACATTTGATAGAACTTTGTATGAAATATCTAGTACCGAGATGCCTCTATAGTTATTGCAATCCATAATATCCTCTTTTTTGTAGGTAGGACATAGGATCGACAGATTCCAGGCTTCAGGTTAAAGAAGAAGGGAGGTACGAAAATATTATTAAAAAAGATTAAAAAAGGAGTGTCCTATCCCACTCTTTCTTAGTAACTCTGTTGTTATATCATCTTCTCCGGGTGCTTTACCATTTTTTAGCATTTCAATTGCCATTTTTATTTCTTCCATTGTTGGTTCATGTATCATTTGTTCCACTGTCGTCATATATTGATCTACAGGTTCTGCTTGTCTTGTTTTAAGTAGTATAGTCTCAAGCATTTCTCTGAATTTTTCAGCTATTTCGGTTTTATCTGTAATCAATATTCCATCTGGTTATTAGTATTATATTAAACCATTTGAATTTCCAAGAGGCATAGCCTATCATTAATTGATTCGAATCAATTTATGTTGTTAAGTATCCTATTGCTGACCACGAAGCCAACTCCCCTTTCATGTCCTGATCCTCCACAATGGGATTATTATATTGTAAAAATATTAACTGTTCATGTAGTTATCCTGGTTTTATCTATGACACAGGAATAAATTCTTGTTTGCCAACCAAACAATTTGCTTCAGACACCTTAACATGGAATAATTATTTATAATTTATAAATACAATGTTTAGATTTTTCTAACTAACTTTGTTTTGAAATTTCCTTAGTTATAGACTAAAAAATCATTACCATCTTATTATGTCATCTGAGGAAACTTGTAACATGTGTCCAGAAAACTAATTTCACTGAAGTATCTCTGTTCTTGGTCAATTAGCAATTGTAATACTAAAATTAAAATAACACAAATTTAAAATGAACATGTCTATAATTTATAAAGTTAACAGAAATGTTACCTTTTAAATATCTTAATAAAACTATTAGGAGTGCTAGATTTCAGACCAGTTACACGGCTATGAAATGGAGTAACCATATAATAGACAAACTGACCTAATATCTCTGCCTTGGCTCTTATATATTGTGCTCTGGTTGGCAGTGGATAGGAATACTCACTGCAAAAAGTAGACACAATTAAATAACACAATGTGCATTACATAGGGCATATTAAAAAACACTGAATTCCAAGTGTTTTTAAATATTGCACTAGAATAGGAAGTAATACTAGTTATTAATAGCAATCGGTTGGTTATTAATTTAACTATAATTATTAAAAATAAAATAAAATAAAATGTTGAACCCACCCTATAAAAAATGCCTGAGTATACCCCTGGAGTCAACCCATTTAAGATACTATTAAAGAAAAATCCATTGAATACTATTTAAATGCTGTGTGTCATAGTACCACACAAATAATACTCCACTAATTTCCCCTATAAAAACTTAAAACTCAAATATCTTGTGAATGAGTTGATGGAAATCAAACATTTCAATACCAAAATTTCATTTAAACTAATATGCTACCTACTTATGGAACTTTTAATGTAGGTTACTGTTTGAAAATCAAAAGTTAATAGTTGCTTCATCTCCATAATTAAAGATGAAAAATAATTATGTAAATATAACATTTTAGAGCTGCTTGTTTCTTAAATTTTTTTTTTGAAAGTCAATAGTTTGCAAAATAATGAGTCTTTAATAATAAAAGAATTACCCTGTACACAATAATACATAATAATAATGTTAATAAATCTGCTCACTTTGAATTTGAAAATTTGTAAAAAATGTATCAACTTTCATTTTAGATATTCCAACCTTAGTTGTTCCATTAATACAAAGTTTTTTGGTAATATGTACTGTAAACAAAACCAATTGATTAAAATAGGTATTTGAACAAATTATTTTAAAACCATTTCTTAAATCAATAATGTCATCAGCGACATTTTTGACATTCATCAGTTTACGATGGTTAGGTTATTATGGTCTATGATAGTATGTGTGAATTAGCAAAATTCTCATTACGTACATCAACATTTTCTTGCATGACTGGCTTCTAACTGACTATTATTTTACATTTTTTTATTTTATATTGCAAACATAATATTATAATTTTGTTTATTATATGAATCATTAATTAAATACATAATTCAATTTTAAAACAATTATAATATTTTACTTGTCTTTTTCTCTCAAAAACTATAAATCTGTAACATGAATGAATAATTTATATCTATATTATTGAATCTGGTTGATGTTTAAATGATAAATGTAAAAAAAAAATTCAGATTTTCGGTATCAGATCTACTATTATCACTGAGTGAATCATTTATACTATTTGTTTAATTACGAATTTTGGAATATTAAGAGGGTGTTATACTATAAATAAATCATTGTCATGGTACTCCTTTAACGATTTTTAGAACCATTAGTAAAAAACAATCTTGAAATTATAATAGGAACATTTGACTACCTATTATAATGTTATCTTTATAAGTTTAAAACAAAATTACAATCTCCGTATCATTATTATGTATTGATTACAACTATAATTTCACCAAAGATATTTGGATTTATTAGTGAAGTTATTTTATTGTATTTATTATTTGTCATCATCACAAATGTATAGATAGTAATTGGTATTGCTATGTTAAAAATGGACATAATGATTAATACTTTACTAGTTGATCATCCCCCAATCTCTCATACAAATTAGGTAATTTAAACTTACAGAGAAACACCATGCCATAGATTCAAAAAATATAAGTATAAGAAATACCTAATACTACTCCTCAATTTAGTCTACTTAATGTCAATTTAATGAAAATGGTATAGTATTAATATAATATTGTTTGAGAAAATTACAAACTTATTCATACAATGATTTAATTATTATTATCTATTTACTGGATTTTGTAAAATTATATTTACCTTTAACCATATATTCTTTTAATTTCATAACAATATAATAGATTGTGACAAATAAATGGCACTTTGAATTCGGGGTTCTGGCAAGTACAAGGTTCATAATTCATATTGCTTAAACTATTGTGAAGACGTAAATTATTTGAAAGATCAAAAAAATTTTATCCACATACCTATTATGATAATAGCTGTTATATACAACTGTAAAATATTATACTAATAACATTCAGATTAATACATGATAATTTATTTGATCCTGAGACACTAGATCCACACCGTCTTCCTATTTGTTCCTACAAACCTACACCTAATCACTTGTAGACTCATGATCTTAATTCGTGTGTAGGCTTTACAATGAATTGATATCATCTGGTTACCTTATCAGAAAAATTGATAAACAAAAACATGTTTTGCAATTTTGTGACACATCAATTTATCATTTACAACATTTACGTTTTTATTAAAATTAGTAGAATTATTTTAATTCTAATTTGTGTGTGCTTCAAATTATTGTATAAAGGTAAGTTTTTTTGTAAATTTTATTTTGTATTGGTTTTACTATGATATTTTTGGTAAAGCTTGGTTTAAATATTGGTAAATCATATTAAGCTATTCTCCTCAATACCTATGTGAATATAAAAACAACACTTTAAAATAAGGTTCTGATTGGGCCATTATGAAAAGGTGAGTCAATAATCATTTAGGCTGTGACATGCAACAGGCATGTAGGTTCAATTAAAACATTTTTGTTGCTTTTAAACTTCAAGGAGGAACTTGTCTTCTAATATACCTATTTATTAAAATATATTTACTTTGTGAATTGGGCAATTTCATATATTTTTAAAAATATATTGGAAAATTAGAATAATTACTTAGATTTGAAATAATATAAACAGTTATATTATTGGAATTCAGTAATTACACTGATTGATTTGTAAATAACTAATAAATAATATTAATATCTCCCTTGTTAATTACTACTAATACAATTTTTATTAGAGCCAAGTTATACTGAAGAAATCATAAAAGAAAGTAATTTTCTTTAAATCCTTATTTTAATTATTCAAATAAAGTAACTCAATATTATTGATGAAATACTTTCTACCTTAAATTTATTGATGCTTTACATTTAATTTTAACTCAATATAATATATATATATATATATATATATATGGGTATTAAATATTATTTTGTATACCTACGCATTTTTGGTCAAATAGGTGAATAATGAAATTGAAAGTATATTATATTTATATTTTGATAGATAAATGATAATTGCATATTATGATTTCAATAAAATATTAATTATTTCTATAAGGAACACTTTATTTACCTATTATTTTAAATGAAACATGAACTAATGAACTAAATAAAATACTATTAAACATAGATTTCAAACATTAACCTTAGGTATACATTGCATAGTACCTTATCTCATCAGTACCTATTTATGTTTACCTATTATTATTCTTATTTCATATTATATTTATAGTAATTATACCTAATTAGAAATATTTTATTAATTGTATAATTATTATAGGCATTAAAGAACAATTTACTGGTGAAATTTAATCCACTTATTTTATTGGTTATTTTAAAGAAGTTTCTAAAACCCATAGAAGAGGAGAAATTATATGGCAAATATTTCCAATATAAAAATGGAATTCTAGTCATGGACAGTACTTATTAAAACAAATCTGTAAGTAATCTACTTACTGAGATCTACTATTGTGTATATATGTGTATTTGGCATTAATTTTGCATAAGTGTTGTTTCCATCTATATAATATAGACTATAATTAGTTACTGCATCTTTTCCTCGTTTGGCGTCAGCCAAATTAGCTATACTTAAGTTATGTGGTTTGCTTATAGGTTTTATAATGGGTTGTTTGTCGACGACCAAGATGATGAGATTGGGCGATTGCGGTTCTGATCTATACGAACAGCAGACAATTGGTACACGAGAACAAGACGAAGCTCAAATACCATTTTTCTATCCTCATTTCCCGGATGATATGCGTGTATGATATACGGGCGAGTGAACTTACTACTGTGGCCATGTAATACGAGTCGTTGTTGAGCAGTAGTTGTGGTAGTTGAAGCAGAGTATCAGCGAGAAGAAAGAAAATCGCATATACTGAACAACTTCCTGAACCCTGTTTGAAAAGGTACATTCATTGTGTCCGCCGATCAACAAGCAACTGCCGAGTATTAACATTTTTACCACAATATGGGACGCGGACCGTACAGTGCGATAACAAGGTAATATACATTAAAATATCTGAAGAAACTCTTTAGTTAAAAAGGCAAAAACTGAAGTGATGACTTGGACCGCAGTCGTGACAAGTAGGCAGAACCACAGAAGAGCAATCTCATAGTGTTCTGTGAACTGTGGTTGTATAGTAGTATTAGTAGCAGGCTGCTGTTAGCTGCTGGCCATATAATATAATATAAGAAAAGAATTTTAAAAAATTACACCTGCAATAGTATATGTTTCAATTCCAAATCAACAAAAATTATTTTCCACTTATCACATATAATGGTATTAATTTATTGCTTAATTAAAATATTTTCAATTTAAGTTTTTAAGTTTTTCATTTAATTACAGAGTTTAATGATGAAATTTGTTGGTTAAAAATGAATACAGTTAGATAATAGTCTGATTCTGATGGATTTGACCCCTACAATACCACACCACACCATTGAGTGCTGTTAAAAAGAGCTCCTGCGTTGTTTTTGTCATTGCTCGGCTGGTATCTGCTGGTTAGTATCACTACCATAACTTATTTCATAAATCTAATCAAAACTAAATGCAGGAGACCAATTGTGATTGATGCTGAATCATTTAATCCCATACCTGGGGTAATCTTTCAGTATAGAGTGGGGTCAGCACCAGAGCTCTATTGTTTGATCTCTTCATAAATGTCATGAGTTAGACATATTTTGATAGCAGAAGATCAACAACTCAACAACCAGTTGAGAATTTGCTCATTTTAATTTCAAACTATGGACATAGCCTCAGTTATACTGACATCTAGCACAAGGAGGTATGACTTACCCAAATTACTAAAAAATATTTGTTAGCACCGATAAATTATGCTAATGAAAAACTGGTTATGTAAGAAGATTGGTTTAATAATAAACATGTTTTAAAATAAAATTCAGTGATTTCTACAATTATTTTTCTTTTTACAACCAATTACAACTTACAATTAGTTTTGTTTTAAATTTTCAAGAATTTCTACTTGGCCTTTATAATTTTAGCCGCTTAAGACCAAATAAAGCTAAAAAAAAAAAGATAAAAAATTTTAAAAAGCTATCACTTATCGATAACTTAAAAGTCGCTAAAAGTTTTTGAAACTGATAATATGTAGGTACCATCATATGATGTGATTCAGTTTTTACAGAATGTTAGACACCCTTGCCATAGATTATTTTATTCCTTGTACAAAATATAATTTTGTTTACATATAAAGTATATTATACTCTACATTAGTGGAATTTATTATCAGGGTAATAAAGATAAAGAAAAGGGAAATATTTTAATTTTTTCGGCTAATAATTTTTAATATTTTACTTATATATTGATTTTTGTAATAGGAATGTGAACTTTCTTTAATGGTGAATTTTAGTGTGGACAGTTTCACTTTGTCTATATACTAAAATCACCTCTGTCAACGGAGGATTGGAATGGCAGCAGATTTAAAATATATAGTGTCAAGGAATCACAGAAATATTACGAAAAATCAATTTTAGTAATACAATTGATATTTAAACATTTATTAATATATATTTTACAGGCAAAGTACTGAATATGAAAATCTATAGAATTCTTAGGCATTCTATAGTATTCCTGATAGTTTTTGACAATGTAATCAATTTTAACTATTCAAAACTTTGCCTATGCAATTTATAGAATACTTGAGTATAGTTAGGCATTATAAATATAAATAAAATTTACTCTTGATAAATTTACATTATAATTTAATATGACACATATTTATTTAAAGTAACATGTGAGACATTTAAAATAGCATATCACATTTAACATAGACATTTTTTGGTTAAGCACTTTGTTTTCAAAATAATTCGTAAAAGTTCTAACTTCCTTAACTTTTGTTAATAATTTTTTAGAATATAAATATAGATAACACACAGGTTAAAATCATGCTGGCTTAAATCTTCATATCTAATATTTTAATGAAGAAAATTGTTGTATCTCCATGGAGATAGTTATATTTTTTTTAATAGTAATTATATTATTGTTTTATAAACATAAAATAATAATATTATTTGTTTTAAGTACTTTTATTTTCGAGTCAGTTTTCTTGTCTCTTTTGAACATTCGCATAGTCTGACAAAGTGTATTTAAAAAAGTCTTGTCTAATTCCCCTTGACTGTTGTGTCGCTAATGTATTTTCTGTTGGTACTTCCTAGATTGACATCAAATTCTTTTAGAAAATAATAAATTGGGATAGTAAGTATGAAGACATTAACATTCCTTCTCTTGTTCCCAACTAATAAATATTAATAACCCATCACTTATTACCTTGTAATTTTATTTCTGTAAAAACAGCTAAAATATGTCTAATATCTCCACGGCTTTTGAATTACAAACTGTAGCCCCAATTTCGACTGGTTTGAGTTTTTTTAATTTCAAGCTTTCATTTTGTCTTCTTGATTTTCAAGATTTTTTTTAGCTTTAATCTGATTTTCTATGGTACTTTCATTATTAAGACGAATTGATGATAAATCTTCCAATTCTATTTCACAATCGATTTTTGTTATTTTGTCATTATTTATTTGATTTTTTAAAATTTTTTTTGTTTCATTTTGAATTTATAGTTTGAAATATTCCTCAGTTTCTATACTATATATAACCTCATTTGGTAAATTCGGGCCCAATCCTCTTTCTATCTATTTTTATAGCTAAATAATGCTTCATATGGGGGCTTTTAAATTCCAGAATGTAATAATGCTCTATTTTTTCTTAAGTCGGAGACTAACATAAACATTATTTGGTTTGCATCTATGTAGTCAGCATATTTTCAATATCTGATTAGATCTTTCAGTACTACTTTAACTTTGACTGTGTTTAGGTTTACTATGAACAATTTTTAATTCAAGCAATTTATTTGTTAAATTTGAAATATTATTTTCAAATTCATGTCCATAATTTGATTGCAGGATAGATGGAACTCTTATTAAACATATCTGTAGGATTAGATACTAATTATTCTTCTGCTCTTTTAAACTCAAATGGTTTAAGAACTATGAATTAAGTCAGGTGTCTTGGTATACTAAAATATGTTTATGTTCTCCATCTGGATGTGATAGGAAATCAATAAGGTTAACTTGGCATTGAGAATTGAATTCTGGTGGAATAATAGGCTTAACAATTACTTTCTTTTTTTATACTTTTTTTTTTTTTAGTGACAAGGTTGACATATTGTAAAACTAATTCAATTTATGTTCTAGTAACATATTTAACTTTAATGAGAGTTCAGCTATCATTCTATCATGACCACCATTACTAATAGATTCATCATTGTTGACATAAAATAATACTTTGCCGTTCTCAGATATAAGTTAGATTAACTTTTTAATACTTTGAGTAACCAAAATTAACATATCGTAACTAACAAAAAAAGTTTTATACATTAATTCATCGTACAAAGTTTGTCCAGAAAGTAATGAGCCTAATTATTTTGTGACTTAACTATGCAATGTGGAACGGTGAAACTGGAAGAACGAGGGTGCCTTTAGCTATTCATAGATAGTTAGTTCCCTCCGAGCTCTCGGAGAGTTAGTAGTTAGCTTTGACATGAACCTCTGTATGGTGACCGTGTTGTAGTTAAGATGGACAAATTTTTAGAATAACCTTATGGGGTGAAATTTTGTGTCAAGCTCAACAAGACCCCCAAGGAAACATGGGATATGCTTCAAATAGCCTTCAGGGATGTTTCTATGTTCTATTTGCAGGCAAAGAAGTGGCACAAGCTGTTCAGGGAAGGTTGGGAAGACCAATGAGGCCCGTTCCGCCCTTCAACATCGTGAATACCTCAACCGTGTGTGCGAATTGTTGAAAACAGACTGACAAATGACTGTTCATATGATGTCGGAATTATTGAACTTGCCAAAAACCATTGTCCATGAGATTGTTTCGGAAGACTTGGCTATGCGGAAGATTTACACAAAATGACAATGTGCCGTCTTACACAGCCTTGTTGTCACCTCCTGCTTGATTCGGATTGATGTCGAAACAATTCCCCAGTCACTCTACAGTCCAGACTTAGCCCCAGCGGACTTCTTTTTATTTTGACTGAAAAGGGAGCTCAAAGAACATCATCTGGGCACCCGAAGAACGTCCAAGCTACTACTGAAAAGTATTTCGGCAGAGGAGTTCCAGGGAGCTTATACAGCATGGGAATCACATTAGCAAAAATGTATTGAAGTGAAAGGGTCTTATTTTGAAGAATATTAAGTTGTAGTAGTTGTATGATCAATAAATTTTGTAAAAAAAACCAGGCTCATTACTTTCTGGACAAACCCTGTATATCAATTATAAATTTAAAAAATATATGAAACAAAAATATTTTAAAAAGTTGATTGTTTATTTATCAATTTTATATTCCTTAGGCAATTTAATAAAATAAAACATTTTATGATAAAATATTAATACATTTATTAATATTAACGAATATTAGGTTATTACATTATATAATAATATTTGTCAAGCTCAGTAGGGGGATCCTATACTATTATAAACTATTACTTACACAATTTTAGGGATATTTATAGATACCCTACATAAATATAGACATTGTTTTATAAAATAATTATTTTGCCTGTACTATATATATTTTAATCTTTAAACATACTCATTAAAAAAAAGTATTTGACACAACAATTTTATTTAAAATATAACGATAATTTAAGTGTATTTGTCAAAATTTGAATTTATAACATCTTATAAAAAAATCTTTTACATTACTCTTAACTTTTTCTTTACACCACAAGGAGAACTATGATGAACCTCATGTTAAATTTATAGCCAAATATATCACAATCAAAATGTAAAGCGACTGAATATAAAAAATTAAATAAAGTCCTTTCACCTAGAATATAGAAATAATTTATTTTAATAGGAGAGATTATTTTAAATTAGTTATTATTAGACATAGATATGTTAAGAAATTTATATTTTTAAATTATTATTTATTATCTAAAATGTATTAATATAAGATATTATTTTTAAAATCAGTTTGAACATTTAAAATATTATTAAATTTTTTTCTTTATTTCATTATATATGTGTAATTCTTCTAAAACTGAATTAATGTAAATGTTATTTTGGCTATTTAATATTTCTAAGTCCGTATTTATATCAAAACTTTTAGTTATTTTCTAAAACATGTTTAGCAAAATTTGAATTAGAGACAGGCTTTTTAAATTTTATTTCAGAAATGTGTTTTTTATATCTTATTTTAATATTTTTATTTGTTTTACCCACATAAAATTTACTACAGTTGAATACAATTTTGTTTGGCGATTTGTCTCGGCCTACAACCGCACACCCTGTCTTAGTCTGCGGCTACTTAGGAGGCGCGGAGGTTCAAGAGTTTCCGGAGCTGCAAGCCGGTCCGGCATTTCCCGTGTCATTCTAAGGACCACCAGCACTGCAGGACCCCGAGAACTCGGAGCCTCGCGTACCAATGGGTTAGAGCCAAGCGCCGCCTGTCCCGCCATTGGTACAGTTACAGCTTACCTCATTGCTTTCCGTTTTTGGTCATGGACAACCTTCGGTGTGGTGTTAGCCCATCGATAGACTGAGTAGGCGCCAGAGAGATACCCTGGTTCACAGTAGTGGCTGCTTACGAGGCCGTTCTATTTAGAGTTTTCCTCGAGTCAGCATGACTCATAACCACATAGTCACTCGGTTACAGCCATACAATTTACTACAGTTACATTTAAATTTATGTATACTAGCATTTTCAAAAGAAGGGGGATTTTTGTGGTTTATTTATTTTATTTTTACGCATAGATTTTTTATTTATATATTTATTTAATTTATTTATTTAGGAGTGTTAACAATTTTAATAATTTTGTTTTACTTTATTATTTTATATTTAATGTTTGACAAATTGTATTAGATAATTTTAGAACCCCAACACAAATTCAACATAAATAGATTGAAAAAATCAGTTCCTAGTCTTTTATGATACAATATTATAAGTAAAATATTTGTCACTTTAAAAAATAAAAATTTTAAAGATCTTTTGGCTAACTTCAAAGTTACGATACACAAATTCATTAATATTGTACTTAAGAAGCCTGTGTTTTACTCATCATACACTTTGTTGAAGGAATTCAGTGTTCTTAACTTAAATTCTATTTATTATAAGAATGTTATTTTACATATGTTTAAAGTAGATGTTCATTGAAATGCACCACAGCATGAATACAATACATGCTTAAAATATCTTAGAAATTTAAATGTATTAAAAGCATGTATAAATGTATGTAAAATAAATTTAAGAATAAACTGGCACTAAACACAAGCTCTGCTTATCGGAGAGATATCTACTACTTAGTTATTGTTGTATATTGTATTGTTCTGTAATTATATTGGATATATACAATTTTGTATTTTGTTTAGATAATAAAAAAATAATATTAGTAATTTAACTATATCTCTGTAAGAACTGTGCAATCAAATGAAAAAGATGATAATTTTAATATATTTAATTTGGTTCCTAAACCAATGAACATTTTAGTAATTACCAGTGAAAATAAAAAAAAATGTATTGGTTTTACTATGCTTATTATTTATACTATGTACAAAAATTCTACCAGAAATCTTGCTCTTATATTGTCTAGATGGTATTTTAGAGGGGTCATTTTTTGATTTTTACAATGGTTTTCATAATATTTGGGAAAATCCAGAATAAAACATAAGGAAAACAGGAAATTTACAAAAATAATGCTTTTTATTGTTTTCAATTTTGTTATTTGTTGTAATTCAATTAAAAATATTTGTAGAGACTTGAAATTTAGGCAAAAAGTTATACTTGACTTTTAAAGACATTGTAACATTTTCAAAATATTTGAGCCACTTTTGAGATTTTTATAAAAATTAAAATTTTTTTGTTTAAATTCAGTTCAAATATTCACATGGAATTTATGGACTTGAAAATTGGACAGAAACCTTATTAGTTAATAATAACCTTATTAATTAGCCTTTCCTAGATGTGGTAAAAACATTTGAGCCATATACATTTTAATTTTGTGAGTAATTTTTATGCTTTACATATTAGTCATATTACTAAGAAATGAAATGTCAAACCAGTATTTTCTAATAAAAGGATTAAAATAACCCAAAAAAAATAAACATTTTGATAAACTTATTCAAGATTAATAAATAATAAAAGATAAATAAAGAGTTATTAATTCAAAGTTGGATGGTTTTATACAATTCTAGATGCGATTGGCAGAATATTGCACGCCATCTAGTTAGTATTACATGAACACTATTAGTGACCAAGTCGGCCGGTCGATAGCGTAAGTCGTTCAGATAAGTACTATAGTCTATAACAGCGTTCCCCAAACTTTTTTTCCGTCGGACCCCTTAGAGATAGTAAAAATGATCGCGGACCCCTCCCCCCTTATACCCNCTCGTGGACCCCCTCCGGCATATATGCGGACCTCTAGGGGTCCGCGGACCACAGTTTGGGAAACGCTGGTCTATAATATTCGCCTTTGACAACGCGCGACATATTAACAATATTAGGTACCCTGTCAATAATTATTTCCGTATATTAAAATTATTATTATCTATAATTTATGTCATAGAATCGGACAGATAATTTACCTAAATATTTCTGTAAATTTAGTCTGGAAATATTATATAAAGATAAAATTATATTTTCTTGTTCGTCGATAGTGATTTTCTATTAGCTATATTTTATTGGATTTATAATGTATATGTATTTATTAATTTTTTATTTATGGATAACTTTTCTCATTTTCTACCAGAAATTTTGCTCAGATTTTCAAGTGTAGCACCTTTTCTGGAAGGAAATTTGACTGGGGTCGTACAATAGGGAGTTTAATTTTTGATTTTCCCAGCTAATATTATTGAATAATAATGTTATTCATCTAACTGTACTTATGTACACTGGTGTACTATGTTTGCCTACTATCGTCTATTATCTCCAATGCAGTTGGTAACGCAAATTCCATATGATATACGGTATAGCGTAATATTATCTATATGCCAGTGTTAAAAAACTGGCACCATCGATTGTGACGATACCTATAGAGGTTATATTTGATAACTGTTTTGAGGGGGATGGGGAAAAACTATACATTTGTCCGAATATGATAGGAATCGAAAATACGGTCTGATCGCATATTATATCTTGTTTTATTTCAAAACTTTTTGTTTTGACCCCTAAGTATGACTTATAATGAACCTCCTATTAAATTTTCAAGAATTTCTGTTAAATCTAACAATTTATCTACAGAGTACTTACCAAATAAAAATTACGTACAAAATTCGCAAAATTATAATATCTTTGAATAGCTCCGAATCTAAAATCAAAATAGGTGTTATATAGATACGTTGAATATACTTGATTTTTAGAAAATGTTCGGCTGCTAAATTATTAATATTAGTTTTATACGATTTTTAGACATTGATGAAAATGTGAATTGATTTTGTCTGTTTAACAGGCTGTTTTATTATTATACAGTATTAATCAAGTGGAAATTTCGTACCAAGGTTGTCGACCCAAATCAATTGGCAATAGAGGCGAAAGAGAAGACCTCCGATTTAAGTGAGTACCTATATTAATATGTGTCAAAAAGGAGAGAATGAAAATATCAAAAACCTATTGAGTCTAAGTACAATTTAATAGCATAATATGATCATAATAGGTATAATATAGTTTCATAATGTGTTAGTATCTATCTATACACCATTTAACGTAGTTAAAAATATAATAATGTTACCTATAGTTTTCAAAATATACAATTTTAATGAATAATTTAATAAATTATTATAATAGTGTTAGGAACTTAAGAATATGTAATGAAATCAAATGCCTGTTAAATAAACGTGTGTTGACACCATTGCTGCCGCTATAACTTGATTATCGTCTGAAATTATATTATCAAAGGTCTCTGTAGCGTATTTTGTTACGAGTGATAGCGAAAATCGACTTATTACTTATCGATATACTTACAAGTATATTTATTCAAATGTGATTATTCCCTCGTATTTCTTTGGGGAGAGTAACGACGGAGGTAAATTTTGAACCGAATATTTATAATTTATATTAACCATTTTGATTAGACGCGGTCATTTTCTGGCGAACAGTGTGGGACACTGCAAGGAAAGAGACCTCTGGGGCGTTCACTACCAAGGCCAGAGGACCGATTTAAGAAGGATGTACAAGATGGTAAATGCAAATGCTGATTGGCATGTTTTAGCGATGGATAGGGAAGGATGATTTCAATGGTCGATTAAAAAAGAAGAAGAAGAATCCTATTGTCCCATTTTATTTTTTAAACATTTTTCTCCCTATCCGCAAACTGCACTTTTCTACCAGAAATATCGTTCTGACCCGTCGATAACAACTCCTCGATCATACCCCGTTAACGGTTTCTGGTTTCTGGTATCGAGTTTTGTCTATATTTTTTGTATTTTTTTTAGTTTTACATAAGTGGATTACATTATCTGGCTGAACCGAAATGCTCGAGAATTTAAGTCAAAGTTTATTATGAGTTTCACTTGGTGGTTAAACTAGTTTAACGTAATGCAGTAGTTTTTGTATATGATTCATAAGAACATTTTAACTTCAATTTTCGACGAAAATCGTAAAATTCATTAGGCATTTCAAAACATGTCAAACCAAACTCCGTTCAGAATCTTGTTTCCTTAGCAATGGTTTATAGTTGTGCACAAATATAAATTTAATTATTATTCGATGTGTCCTACCTACTACTCAACATCCCACTTCAATAGTGGCACACCCATTAGCATTCAGGATCAGCTCATTGTTATTTTAAATTGTTTGGTCGGTAGTGTCGCAATGATAATATCATAATGTTGTTCATTTTTTTTATTATTATTATTTTTTTAATGGATATTGATTTATTTCAGGGGTTTTTTCCGTTAGAATAATATTGACGACCAAAAAAAAAAAAAAATATTGCGAATACGAGGAATTTTCATAGGTGCCTAACATCAGAATTGATCAATATTTTACATTTTAATAACATTTTGTTCTACCAAATTATAATAATAATCACGGTTGATGAAATATTTATTTTTAGCTATAAAATACGCCGAAATTCATCCAAACGAGATGCTTCTTTAATCCGATTATTCACAACAATATTATTATATTATTATCCACCATTAAATCCACTTTTAGTAAGACTTTTTTTTTGCAGTAGAATAAATAGAAAATAAGACATAGTAAGAAAAAAGACGTTTTAGGATAATGGAAACGGGTGCAGCCAGTGTTATAGGTGATTTAATGTATACCTGTAAGCAACGATAAACCATTGCTAACGAAAAAAACCATTCTGAGCGCAGTTCATTCAATAGTGATGCTTTGGCAACAAAATATATATATATATATGTCATATTATAGTAAAATAATTAAATAGGCATTATATTTTTATTTTTAATAATATTTTTTTAATATTGTACCGATTTTCCTATGTTTTTCCCGATTTTTCCCAATAATTAAGAAAACTCCTGGGAAAATCGAAAAATTATCTCCCTATAGTACCTTCCCGGTCAGATTTTCGTTCAGAAAAAAATGCTATCATTTTAAATCGGAGCAAAAATGTTGGTAGAAAAGTCGTACTCAGAAGAAAAGGCCATAATATTTTTTTACTAATACCTAGATTTCCTACATTTTCCGTTTTTCCGACATTTTATTCCGGTTTTTCCCAGATATTATGAAAACCGCTTGAAAAATCTAAAAACGAGTTCTCTAAATTACCAAGGAGATAAAATTTCCTTTCAGAAAATAAGCTACACTTGATATATCGGAGCAAGATTTCTAGTAGAAAAGTTTGCAAAACAAATCGAGTGGTACATTGCAATTAAAATAGTCCAAGCGATGGCTTGGGTCTCTAGGTACATCCAAAATGCATTTGTTTTTCCTTTTTTAGGTAAACTGAAAAAAATGCAAACAATTTTTTTCGTGGCACTGGTTTGAACTCAGAACTCTTAGGATGATAATAAGGATAAATAACCATTAGATCACGACAAATATGCTTAATGAAGGACAATATAAAGTTATTTAACATAACATAAAATACCCACATAATATCAGAACTTCAAAAACCTATAATTTCAAAACTTAGTCAGTCAGCTTAATTCTGACTTCACCATCATTCTTAAATAGGCAATATACATATGTTAAAAAAAAAAAATAAATTGAAAAATTATCCCACATCATTTTTTCGTCAAAATTTGATATTAAAATTTTCTTGTAAAAAAAAAAAAAATACTACATTAAGCTCAATTTTTTTTACCACAGAGTAAGACTAAATGAATTTGTAAAATTTTGAAGCTTTTCTGTTCAAGTTTAAAAATTTTACCACAGAGTACCTACTGAATAAAAATTATGTACAAAATTCGCAAAATTAAAATGTCTATAAATAGCTTAAAAATGGCTTAAACTTTTTAAAAATTTTACCACGTCTAGAAAAGGCAAATATAAGTTTTCTGTCCAAATTTCAAGTCTCTACGAATATTTTTA